TTTTATTTGTACAGCTCTCGTGAGTTGTGACCCACGTTGTAAGTCATTGAATAATACATGTGGAGCTATCAAAAAAAGGGAGTGCCCCACCGTCACATGGCAAACTCATGCTCCATTTGGAAAATTGATGGCCCATTTTTTAATAATTAAATTAAATTTAATTAAAAATTATTAAAATTAAGTTGGTGAATTTTGGATAATTAAAAAGGTATTATACATCCAATTAATACCCTCCACGTAGCAAAGCCAATATGCAATTTAATATTTATTTTGGTGATAGAATAAAGTTTTAATATTTAATAAATAATAAATGTTACAATAAAGTTTGAATTTATAATTTAATAATCGGTAAATTGTGTTGAGATTATTGACCAATACATTCTAAATTGATAAGAATAAATTATTTTAACTCCCGTTTCGAATTCTGTATATTTTTATTTTAAGATAATTTTTTTAATAGATCATTTTTTAAAAATATTTAACTTTATTTTAAATAATAAATTTTCACATATATAAAAAAATTTATTTTTAAAAAAATTTTAAAATATTAGAACCCTCTTTTCTTTTACTTAATTCAAAAAAATAATATGATAAAAATACAAGCAATACCAGTTTATCATATTATATAAAGAGTATTGATATGTGAGGCCATTTTCATGCCATATAAAACCAAGAAATAGGACAAAAGACTTCATATTAACTTTAACTTTTAGTCTTTTTACTTTAAAATATTATTTTATTTATACGATAAATAAACTTTTTCTAATACATCTTAATATATATTTATTTTTACTATTGGATAATAGTCGAAGTTAAAATTTTTATCTTAAATTATAACTTAAATAATTATGGAATTTATAAATATAAAATTAAAACAACAATATAATTCGCTCATAATGTATTTTTATTTAAATTGAAAAAATGAACAACTATCATTAAACATCAAAATTAAACCATTTGGTTTATTATAAACAAGAAACAAACCATTGGAAATATAAAAATAAAAAAAAAATATATATATATATAATTTAATATTATTTTGTTTAAATTGGAAAACATTTGTTATGATAAAAAAAAATAAAAAAAATAAAAATTATTTGGTTAATTAATTATATAAGACAAATAAACCTTATATTTGTAATTGGGTTTTTCCTAATGGACACTAAACCCTTCTCCACAAAAAGAAGTGGAGACAGCTATTGATATTTTTTGACTGTCACCAAAAAAATCAACCAAGTGGGTGATTCAAACATTACCTACTACTCTCTTTCTCATTTTGACATTTTATTTTTTTCGTAAGCAAAATAAAATGTTTAGCTTTCAATGCTATTTTACCAACCTCAATGAGAAAAACTTAAATGTTCCAAAGAATCCAAAGTTTACCCAATCGCAGTACCTACTCCGCTCTCAATTAATCGATATATATATATATATATAAATTATAATATAATATATTAACGAGAATACATAATTTAACTTAAATTTATAATTTCATGAAAAATTAAAATACTAACTATTTAGTAAATAAATAATTTGTATATCAAATTATTATCTTAATTATAAAAGATTAATCACTACGAGTATGTTTCTAATCTTATTTGGGTTATTATTTATTATATATATAATCTTGTTGACTGGCTTCATAAATATATCATTTCTATTAAATAATTAATTACATAATTAAAATTTAAATAGTATGAGTTATGTATTCATAAAATATGTTAATTTATTTGTATGCATATAATATTTAATTATTATTTTTTGACGGGTTAAAGAAATATATTTAAATTTATTAGGAATAAAATTAATTTTAATATACAGAAATTTATCTGTAACGTACCTATAGGTAAAAAGAAATTATTATGATTTTTTTTTTTAAATAATTTCATTATTCCCACACTTACAAAAGTTAATTACATAATAGTCTGGAGGTAATCCCAATATCAGCCTATATTGCAGTGCGGTTGTTCTTGTTCTTGTTCTTGTGTGATTTTGTTTTTGTTGGCTGTCTACACCACAATTCTGATCGCATACCAGATAGGTAGGGAATGGATATATATATATATATATATATATATAGACACATGTATGTATGTATTCAGTCATGACTGTGACTCAGCCTTCTATATGTTTAAACAATGTCTACCACCAGAATAATAATACCAAATAACAAAGACAAAAAAGTATATATATGTATATGTATATGTATACACACACGTATATGAATTATTGAGGTAAAGCAAACTGGTTAGTTTCTAGATTGAGAACCCAGTAAAAAGAGGCCTTGTTTGGCTGAAAGGAAAATACATTTTTTTAAATCACAAGAAAATTTTTTAAAATAATAGTAATAGGATGAAAATTCTAAAGTTCTTTCTTTTTTCTTTGTGCAGATAAAAATTCTAAAGTTAGCTCGTGCTTTTGGCTCTTTGACTCAAACATTATGTAATAAATATATATACATAGATATTGAATATGATATGTGGGTGTGTATATATATATATATTGGAGGGAAAAAGAAAAGGTGAAGCATTGAGTGTTAGGTGTTTGGTCAAAGAGAAAAATGATTGGGGGAAAACACAAACCAATAAGCAATGGAAGTCGATCAAAGTCTTTGATTGAATTATGTCTAATTCATTAGATTCCCATAAACTTTCTCCTACTAACTATAGTGGAATACACTTTTTTTGTTATTGTAATTTTTTTGGGTTAACCAAAATATATATATCTTTCTATCTTCCTTTTTATTATATACACACACACACACACGATATATAAATATACCATGTTTTACTTTATGGGATAGTTTTTAAAATAATGTATACTTTGTAGAAATGGCTTTGACTATTTGAATATATATATATATATATATATCACTTTATTTTTGTCAACAACGAAAACTTATTTCTCAACTACTCTACTTTTGTTTTCTTTCTATTATTTTAGTGACAAGAATAAAATTTAATCTCAAATTTTCTATCATTCAGATTAAATTTTATCTAATCAAACTTTAAAGTAAGTTCCTCAATAAGCAAATTAGGGTTTTGTTTGAATTTTAAGTTTTACCACCTCGCAACTTTTTTAAAATATAATAAAATTTTATATGTAGTTATTATTTTTTTATAATTATAATAAATTTTATATAAATTTATAGTTAAACTAAATAAAAATTTATAATATTTTTTGGATTTGTAATTCCAAATGTAGACGCGGGGATACCTAAATTATTTTTTGAGATTTGAAAGAAAAAAAATTATATGCATAATAATGATCTGTTAATATAAATTTATAATTTTTTACCTCAATTTTTATATATATATAGATAAAGTAATAAAATAAAATACCATATTAACATATATAAAAAAATAATTAATGGCTTATCATACCATTAAATGATATAAACATAAATAGAAAATTGATTTGTTTAAATTGAAAAGATAAATCATAACTTGGAAAAATCCTTTGAATAATATAAAGTATTCATGGTTGGCTTCCTCTCTTTAACTCCTCTTTTGAAGTTTGAAACCAATGGATGGAGAAAGCAACTCCTCTTTGCTTTTATCTCCGTAATTAAGCAAATTTGGAAAGTGTTTCTCAATATAAGGGTAACTTATTTATTTATTTTTGTAATGAAAAAAAAAATAATAGATTAAATTTTAATATATTATAATTATTTAAATTAAAAAATATTTATATATATAAATATAATAAATTCGTTGAAATTTAACTTAATTTGATTATCGTAATTTTATTT